TGTGGATGGGAGATAAGCCATCACACGTGAGGTCCGTGACGCAATGGCAAGCGCACAGTACAAGCAAAAACAATAGGCACAAGATTGGTCGAAAATATTATGGACACTTAAGAGTAGGAGACAAAAATGCTTATAAGTACTAGCATTCTACTTGGACAAGAAGTTTCAGTACTACCTGGTGGTACTACCAAACGTGTGCCACAGTTTATCGGGCCTTTACTGTGGTATAGGAAGTTTGGAGACCTACTTTATAGGCTCACCCACCCACCATACATGAAGACCCCCCCGTATTCTGCATGCGTCTTTGAAGCGATAAATAGATCCACAAGATATTAGACATCCGCATGGGCTACAAAATGCGATCACGTCGATGACCATGCAACGAACAAAGTCACCATGAAGAAAACGGCGTCGATGGAACATTCTCAGCCGATGAATGAACCCCCGTCCGTCTTGGGGCTTGCGGACCGAGGAGGACTGCGCGTCAAACGCGTGCTTCTCATCAACAAACACTCCAAAGGTTGACCCGGACCTTCAACTGGTCCTAAACTTGACGCGCCTTCGTACGGACGTCGTTCACAGTCGATGTCAGTTAATAAACCTGACTCTTAGGAGCCACGATCGACTTCTCGACAGCAGTGTCATACGCTTGCGTCTGAAAAGTTGAGGAATAGGTCGTGAACAGACGAGCACAGTCAATGTCCGTATCGGGCACCACCGTCTTTACGGACGCTGAGGGAACCAACACTTACTTGTAAGAATTTTGATTTGTCACTGAAAAAGAAGGCGGAAGTTATAAATCCTTGTGCAATAGAAACAGTACATAAAGGGTTTGACACTAGGGAGACAGCTGCGTGCGTTGCATACCGACGTTCCTGTGGTTGCAGCTTACGACCAGAAAAACCAGGTGCACCCGGTCCGCAATGTCCTAATGGGCTAGCGGAAGCATCGTAGCGTGAAGAAGCAGGGAGTATGTTACCGCCCACTAGCTTACGCGCGCACTCTAGCACGAAGTTTCATTCGCTGCGACCGCTGCCTTGCCGTATCAGAATGCGACTTGGTACGTGCCGGTAATGCTTCTTTCTTATTGGTTGTTTGTTTCGCTGGGAAAACAACACGACAAAAATTAGGAAGTTAAGGCCAAGCCCCGCTTTCCTTCTTATTGCGCATTAGATCGATACCATACTAACAATGTGTGCCAATAGTTGCACGCACTTAAAGCGGTGCCACGGACCCATCCAACACTGGCCATTCGTTTGGAGGGGGTGTCAGTAGGATACTACAAGATGCATAGCCACATTCATATCGGCGCGCTTGCAACACAGATAGAAGGATGTTCAGTGGTATAACAAGAGCTTTTTTCTCTGGTTCGTCGAAGTCGGAATCCGCATTGTGGATGCCCTGACGTTCGGACAATGAAGTTGACACTTAAAAAAGCTTTTGATTGTTCAAGGATTGCGCAATTTTTGGTGATCGCCGAGCCTATAGTAGCCGACTCAATATGCACAACCTTGCTGTTCGTAAAGACACCGCGACATCACTAAAGCTGCTTAAATGAGCGGTTTGTAAATCGGTGATGGGATCAAATGATCCATTCTATTGCCACATACACTCGCTGTTGTCATCATACATTAGTGTTGACAGAGGAGTAGAATCATTGTAATCCACAATTAAATCAGTTCATCCTTCGCATTAGATGCGTAAGGTAAATTACCATGACCTGTCGATATTGTGACCGCAGTACTAGCAATCAGAGTCGTGGCACTAGCATCTTGTGTCATCTTCGTTCCATCGCGATGCACACGCTTAGTGGTAAAAGAGGTTAGCGCTTTTAAAGGCAAATCACCCTCCTCCCTTTTTTTAAATGGAATGAGAATGCCGTGCGGTGCTGTTTAGAGAAAGAGCACACTCATATGCAGCTCAGACAAACAAGTACAGATGACGAGCGGCAAGCCTTTGACAGCTCACTATTATGTGATTCTCCTGGATTACGACTTTTCAGAATGCGAGCGATCATTATGAAACGGGGATAGTGTAACAGGGCTAATTTGTTGCATGAGACTTTCCGTGTAGAGGCAGAGAAAAGTCTGAGAAAGTTTCGAAGTGCGGTACGCACTTAGACCTTTCATGTGGTTGGGTACAGCAATTGCGTACCTAACATAAAGTGTTTGTTTCACACACGGATGACGTCACTTCTCGACTTCGTTACATGATTTCATCGAAGTACGTCATCAGCAAGCTCATATTCAGTTGAAGCGCATTGTAGAGAGGGCTTCTAATCAGAGCGTGCGTCCGGTCTTTTGTATGTCAGCCAATAGCAAATTTGATTTCTGTTTCATTAATTAAATTGAAACCAGTCTTTCATTTGCAGCCAAATTGTAACGTTTGTGCCGGAGGACGGGAAACCGCGTCCGAGCCACATCTAGAACAAGCGTTCGTCTATCGGTGGGGCAGTCGTAAGACGCCCACCCGAACCTCGCTGTACACGAGAGAAGACGGTATAACCGCTGCCTCGCAGGTGCCTGGAGGTGTGTGTTAAGGTAGCGCGTGGCAGCTCCAAGCGCTCACTTACAACGTTACGACCACTGCTTTCGCTCACAAATCTCTCCGTCAATATGGTGGTATTGACAAAACTCGCGTCAACGGACTTCAATAATTTGCACGTTCCAGTGTGAAATCTTTTTTTGGTGCATTGTACGATAAAGGATGCTTACAATAAATTAGTCACAGTCTCTTATGACGCCTTATAAGCCTACAACGGTTCCAGAAAATATCTTATACAACCGATTACGTCGCATCACGTAGATCATGGCAACCATAGACTTGACGCCACTGTAGTCTCGGGGATGATCGATATAGATACGTGAACATGGAAGGTTATTGTTAACGGTAACATTCGCCATGCCAAGGTTGTTTGTTTACCCATACGCTGTAAACTTGGTCCTCAAAGGTACGAAAGATTGGTGATCATATCAAGCGGATTGCGTGTTGAACAATATCATAGTTTGCAATAATCAGGACAGTACCATACAGAGACTATCATCGAATCATGGGCCTGGTCACCAAAAATAATCGACACCTAATTATCCATTTAGACAGCAAGCCTCAGATACATTCTCAGCAATATCTACAGGTGAGACTGTCGAAAGTTACTACTTACTGATATCAGAAAACGGACAAGAAAATAATACATTACCAAAAAACGACGACAAAAAGTAAATTCACGATTCAAATTAGCAAAAATTTGCCAAAAAAACGTATTATAAAAGAATACTTTAAGATCAGAAACCTCTTAACGGTTTAGCGATGTATACTGACCATATGAATGTGACTGAAACAAATTCATAATGTCTGCTACACGTACGAACGCGACAGAAAAAAGGGTAACCAATGATGTATACCAAACGTACGATTACATGACAACACAAATTTCTGGGACCTCACAAACGATTTTCACGCAGTCCGACTCACTTTCGTTTAATCGTTGGTGCAAAGACACGAAAACACTTGCCAGGCCACGTCCACATTGCCAATTATTTTTTCGTAGATGTGTTCAGCGAGGCAACCCAGGTATAAACGAAAACCTCAGACCAATGTACGCTGAAGTAGGAACAACAAATTTACAGTAAATAACCCTCCATGCTTTAGACGGATACTACTGTTATGAACAAAACGATGCAATGTTTCGTTCGTCTGGTTCGGCACTTTTTAATTTTCTTACTGATTTGTTCTTTAGGGACCCGCTTTTTCTTTGGGCGCCTTCCTTCCTCAAATTAATGGAGTCTTTGCACACATCTGTTGTATGGAAATCTATCAGCAGGTTCGGCAATAATTTGATCTTCAATTCTCTCTCAAATAGGCGATTACAAACGTCGATGACTTCTACGAGTCGATAAAATAAGTGGCTGTGCTACGCAGTACTGCACGGCAAAAGTAGATCCGTGTGATCTGTACGCCGCTTTTATCACGCCGATCATCGCTTATTATTGCAAGTAATTGACAGTGGCACGTTCGATTGAGCTCACGTATTGCTTGAATGGTACCGCTTCTACGAGCGTATGACCTACTTCGAATGTGCTTCAAGTTTGCTGCTACTCGTCGACGCTTTCATCGCTGGTGTTGTCGCACAAAATCACGAATGGTGGCTTGTGGGCAGTAAAATAGCGAAATCGGATATTGACGGGAGATTGGCCCAGTACTGTCTGAACAGCAGACGACAGAAGCCGCACAGTGGTGATTGAATCGAATACCATCCGTGGCTTAGTAAAAACATGTAGCTTTCTGACAGGTATATATGCGACATTCACGACATGGGCGGTCTCCCTGCGCTAACACAGTACAATGAGATCGCGTCGTAAAGGCTGTGTCTGTGACAATGGTACAAACTTTTGGTGCTTCTTGGTCTCATCGTGAATAATATAATGATCAACGGATCATCAGAAGGAACGACTTGACACTACCAGGCCGCCGCAAATGCTCAATTTCTTACGAACTGCTACGACATGTGCATGAAAATCAGTGATAATGTCGATATGTTCGTACGTTAATGGACATCCTTGATAGTTTTTTCGATCTTGCAGTCTATACTTTTTCGCATTTACTTTCAACAGAGACGCTTGAGAGTGTGATGCTAACCTTACATTTTTTGCGCGTACTCGGTGCCTACTTTTCACCTTTGGCTGGCGTCATGGACTCATCAAGTCGCAGTGACTCGTATGTCCTGACATTAGTTGCATGAACCAATAACTACTAATTCTTGTACCTATAGCTAGTCGGTTTAGTGTGGGATCCGCCACCCAGATCCATAACTTGTTTCGTAATTCAAAACCAACCGTAGTAATTCAACGCGTACACATCAAGTATTCGGCATACCATAGCTGACCAAGCAGTCAGTTTCGCATGACAAAGTCAATGGCCCCGAATTCGTATCCCAGCTGCTGAATATGTCTCTTGCAATTGTGGCTACAGCAGCACTGTCGGTCACAGCAAAAGCACAGCAGTCACATTGTCGGAGCGCTCGAAACAATCGGCAGAATCCGGTTGATCTCGCTCCGATCCACTCCCTGATCGAGCAATTTCTTCCGCGATAATGCAAGCAGCATCTTCGACTCGTACCCTTCTTTCTCTGCGAGCATCTTTTCCTTTCTTGCTTGTGCTTCTAGAATCTCCACCTCCAGTCGTTCCCGACGCTCTTCCCGCTCGTCTCTCTTCATTTCGAGCTGCAGGCGACTCTCCTCAATTTCTAATTTTCGACGTTTATAGTACGACAAAGTGGCTACCTCTTGTACCGTTGCTATCGTTTCTATTCCAATAGAATGGATAGAACTGGTGTCCGTATCCGTTACAGACGAGACGTTTCGATCAGCAGATGGTGATTGATGCGGTTCTTTTGCCACTGGAGAACTTGCTCTTGTCTCCTCCGCAACTCGATTAGGTGCGATAACACCGTCTTGCAAGTGCGGTCTACTTTCGTCCACACACGTTTTTTTGGGACGGTCGTCTTCATTGCTATTGGCGATCGTACGAGGAGCTGTCGACGCGGAACGAGTCGGACACACGCGTATGTGCGACTGCAGCCGATTGATGGCGGCTGAGACTTGCGCATGACAGGCTTTGCAGTCCACCTTGGGGCACTTGGCGCCGGCTACGTGGTACTTTTGACCAAAGAGCTTCCATTCCTTATTAAGCGGTCTGACCATGATTTGTTCTAAACGTTTTGTGATAAAATTTGAATAAAACGAGCGTTCGATTGAAGAAAACGCATTGGCACTGACAAAAAGTGCTTTCTTGTAGACGAGCAACTACTCTGTGCTTACACAGCCAGTAAATACGAATGCTTAGTATGCAGGACAACACAGACATCACTTGTAGCACTTCCGCTGCGCCCCTAGACTGCTTTGATTCGCCATACCATGGCGAAATAGTCGCAACCCGAGCAATATCGAAACGGCAATCTTGAGCGTCCAGACCGTAGTCACGAGTGTGTTAAAAGTCTTGATGTCTTGATGCAGGTAAATCAGCTCGCGATTGCATGTAAGCCAGACTACTCGCTGCTGTCACTCCAAGAACGAACGTGCAGGAAGAGCTTTTCGGAGTGGCCTACGTGTGGAATATCCGCGGATAACACAAGTTCTGCGACAAGATCGTTCGTAGCCAGCCTTTCAAGTATTGTATGCAGACGCAACATCCTCAATACATACTTGATGAGACACAAGCTGCCTTTGTAGGCGAGCTACTGATCAACAAAATGACGTTTGGATGTAGGAACTGGGCACCAAACACAGCCTACTTGAGGAATCCGTATGCAACTGATCCAGGTGGTCATGTACAGGTGGCTACGCAGCTTCAGCACGTTATAGCACGAGACACAAGCACTTCAGTCTGCTGTGATCTCTTTTTCTAATTTTGCACACTTCGGCACTCATACCCCACTGATCACATGGCATTCAGTATTCTATTCAGCAAAAATGGCCCCGCAAGTAAGACCTCGTCTTTATTGTCAAACGATACACGCTCGTTGTACAAAAAGTATGATGGATGCGTCAAATTTTAAGATATTGCGCTTCCATCGATCGGGACTGCTCCTGCAGAAGTATCAGTAGACAATGAAAAGGTACCATCGCCTCATTTTTTCGCTCAAGATTGGGTACTTCCGGGTGCTCTGTCTCTTTAGACTTACGATGCAGTTTTTGTTCGTGTACACCTTCGTCTGTCGCACCACGTAAGGACATGTGCTCAGCTCGACAACCTCGCGTCAAAGCAGTTTTTCACCATGCACCACATGCGCACCACCTCTGTGCTAGCAAAGAGAGTGTTCAAGAATCTAATCGACATGTGCCTCCAAGTCCAGTACTACGTATGCAATAGAGCCACCATAGCACGAAAAAAGCACCAGCTGTCGTCACGGCATCGACCACTCCGTGTGCTTTTCCTTTCGACGTGATGATCTTAGTCCACTGCGGCATCGTCACCACGCATGCACCAGTTGATACACACAGGTGCCGCGTAGATGTACAATGTTCGATACTGCTCATTAGGAGAATTATCAAATCGCACCGTCGTGGTACAATATGTCTAACTTAGAGCCTCGGTCATTTCACGGCATCAGCATTCTACGGTCTCTAGTATCGCAGTTATACTCTACTTGACTCCTCTGCAGTAGCCATGTCGTAATGTGGTAAGTGTTGGTAGAAAGTGCTCGCTCCTTTCTCAATCACCTTGATGGTTGCACAAGGTTGAGGTACTTACCACTGATCCACCCGGTGTCTATCCTGTATCGAAACGGTCTGCGCCTCGTAGGCCCACCCCATCATCACGATCTCTTCACCTGTCCATATTGCAGTGCTGCGTAGCCTCTACTACATCCAGCATGCCCCGTTGCTCAAGTATGCAGCGTTTTACAAAGGCTTCGAAAGCCGTCGCTAAACGCAAGGCAAGACTCGTCAGCGTCAGTCATTTACTGATGCACTCCGTCCAAACGAACGAAATCCACTACTTTTTAGCAGGTGTTTTCGTTTCACGACTGGATCGCTGCACCATGTCGTGTCCCCCATCACTTCGTTACTCAGTCGTCACGTCACATCCGGACACTGTAGCAAACAACAATTACAGAACAACTGCCAGGTTTTCCAAATGACCCGTCGTTGTCATCCATTCACCCAAATTGTCCATCAATTCGAGTTTCAGCCAATCACCGCCATAACGGATCCAGCATCGATCTCGTCACTCGAGTTGAAGCGCATTCATCAATTTGCAGCTTCAGGCTCAAGTCAACGGACTGACCATTACTCCTGCGTCCCAACCGCTTTCAATGCCATCCCGTCCCTTCGGCCCACAAGGCTTCCGTGAATGCTGGGGCGACTACCGCGCCGAAGCAGACCTAGAAGACCCTTCGCTCCCGCTCTACCGTTTCCAGCGCGACCTCCCGCGTCTGCCCGTGCCGCCACTCGCAGACACTATCGCTCTGTACCTTTCCACTCTACCACCTCTTGTATCAGCCGCAGAACTCGCCCACTCGAAAGAATTGGCCGCTGCCTTTCTACGACCTAATGGCAAAGGCGAAGAGCTCCAGCAGCGCCTCGTGGCTCGTGCGCACGACCGCCACGCTTCGAGCTACTTGGCCGAGTGGTGGAACACGATCGGATACCTCCGAGTCCGGGATCCCGTCGTACTTAACGTGAGCTACTTTTTCCACTTTGCAGACAGCATTTATCCAAGTCAACGCTCGAATGTCGGTCGAGCGGCAGCCTTACTACGGGCCTCCATGCTCTTTGCTGGTCACGTGGCCGACGGGTCGCTCGAGCCAGAGCGACTGGGCCGGAACAAGACGCCAGTCTGTGCCACTGCGTACAAGTACATGTTCCATTCTTGTCGCATTCCACGACGTGAGCAGGACTCGTACCGGATCTATGATCCCAAGACGCACACCCATGCCGTGGTGATGCGTCGCAATCAGTTTTTCCGATTAGAGCTCGTGGATCCACGGTCGAGAGAAGTATTGGGTTTTGAGGCGCTGTGCTTTCAATTGGCTCGGATCCTGGACGCTGCAGGAGACGCAGAGATGCCAGTGGGCGTGTTGACGACGCAGGATCGAGATACGTGGGCGGATGCCCGCGAGGAGTTGATCCGAGCGTCACCGGGGAATGAGGAATCATTGCGGACGATTGAGAGCTCCTTATTGATACTCAATATGGACGACGACGCGCCAGTGACGCGTACAGAAGTGGCGCGTGGCCTTTGGCATGGCAACGGACGCAACCGCTTCTTTGACAAGTGCGTGCAGATTGTTGTGTTTGAGAGCGGCAAGGCCGGGCTCGTAGGAGAACACTCGATGCTCGATGGTATGCCCATGGCACGCTATGCGGACTACGTGCTATCGCGTCTGCATCATGGACAGATTGACATGGGCCGCCATGGTCAAACGATTGCGCAGCTGACAGAAGAACTGGAGCCTCCTAAGCAGATTATGTTTCGCTTGACGGATGAGACTCGACGTAATATTGCTGAAGCAGAAGCGAAATTTGACCAGACGGTGATCGACCACGAAGTCTGTGTGATGGCTTTTTACGGCTACGGTGCGCGCCTGATTAAGGGGTTTCGTTGTAGTCCGGATGCTTTCGTCCAGCTAGCAATCCAGCTCGCTTACAAGAAGCTGTTCAAGAAGAACGTGGCTACGTACGAGGCTGTGCAGACGCGCATTTTCTTGCACGGACGCACAGAAACAACACGTAGCTCCTCAAAAGCAAGTGCCAAGTTTACAGATGCGATGGCGGACACATCAGGTGCCGTCACTAGTGAGGAGAAAAGAAGGCTTCTATTAGCTGCCACCAGTGCGCACGTCGCGTACATGCGGAAAGCTGGTGCCGGGCGCGGTGTAGACCGGCACCTTTTGGGTCTGAAGTTGCTGGTCCGGCCTGGCGAATGCGTGCCATTCTTTGAGGATCCAGTGATGGCTAGAGCCAGTCGCTGGCTCATTTCCACAAGTCACCTGACCAACAAGTTGTTTGACGGCTGGGGCTGGGGTGAGGTCGTGCCTGAAGGTCTAGGAATCGCCTATAGCGTCAAGAATGATTCGGTCCAGTTCAATATTGCATGCCGTCAGCATGGTAATTGGGGAGCCCGAATGGGCCATTTGCTGGAGGAAAGCCTCGTTGAGATGCAGCAGCTCTTTGCCGAACCCATAGAAGTAGGCGCCAAGCTGTAAGCAGGCGTACAGCAGAACCACGAAGCGACTTTGACAGTCGTGAACCATGAAGACAATCCCATCGTTCATACATCATACTCGTCAACTAGCGTACTTGTAGGTAAAGTCATGCCAACAAAGCAAAGCAAAACACATGCAACAGGGCTTCCTCCAGGATACTTGCCATGCATGTATGTACGTTCTTCATAGCCAACAAAATGCAACCATCACGCAGCAAGTATCAGATTCTACTGGGGACCCACTGATTGTCAGCAGCCCTCCCCTCTTTTATTTCCGAAACTCGCTTAGCTCCTCGTGAAAATGGTCGAGTGCCACCAGCATAGCAGCGTACGGTAGATTCTGCTTCATGACCGTGGACCGCACGAATGGCAGTCCTGCAGCCACGGTGGAGATTCCAACACTGATCAAATCGTCTTCGCGTTGCGTCACGAGTGCAGTCTTGATGCCGCAGTACAGAAAGAAGAAACTGCAGCAATACACAAGACGTCAGTACACATTGAGCATATCTCTCCATCGAAAGTGGGAATACACTCCATCACACGTTCGCACCCAGAAAAAGCTCCTCCTGTTACAGCCGCTCCACGCGCAACAAAACTCAAAGCCGCAGTAGATGGCTGCTTCCCATGCTGCTTCATATACAGCTTAGCTCCGTCAACTGTGCATGGTTGTCGCACCAAAAACACAGGTTATCATTAGGATCAATTGCACACTGTTAAACTTGATATCCTGCTATACGTACTGCCTCCAAACGTCGCACCAGTAACAAAGCCCACCAAGCTGCCAAACATGAGACGATTGCGCATGTTGTGCAGCGCTGCGGGCTCCATCAGTACACCAAATCCTGAACGTCTTTCTCCTCTGTTTGATTCTGTAATCGGGACATCAATCGCATGCTTTGCAACGTCCCTAGGACGCTTGGGCGCCTCGGAGTCATCGAATGCCGACCACTTCTGCGAATCGCTCATCACTAAATCCCGAGGCTAGAGAAAACCTCCAGATTTGCATATGTCTTTTCTCTGCAACAAGTGGCACGTTTCTCGCGAGTCGGCTTTTACACAATTTAGGCGATCAATACGGCTCTAAATACCGGTATTGTGACAACCGCTGATGCAAAAGCGGTGGTCAACTGCGTGTCGAACTTTGTCCAATAATCGGCAGCTCACTAAGTACGATATCGTCAATGTGCTACAATCTGATTCGCAAGATAGTGACTCTCAGTTCCTTTTCGAGCGATTGATGAATCATCAATGTTTCTTCGTTTCCCATCGTTGTTTCCTCGTTTCCATATCATGAGGCATCCACAGTATCTGCTATTTACATTGCAGCGTACCACAAATGTCGGTGTGGAAATTGTGTTGACGATCACCGCGACTCCTGCTATGCGATGTTTCGTGTAAATACGAGAAAAGTGACGGACGCATAGTTTTGGGACGGGATCTCTTTGAAAAGGTCAAAATAACCGATCGTTGCGTCCAACGGGCACGTCCGAAAAGCTCAGGAACTGCGTTTGTAATTACAGAGAGTAGTAAGAAAACTAGGAAACAAATCGGAAGACTTTGTGCTGTTGTTGGTGTAAAAACAATTGAAGTCGACTAGTACTTGCTCCACTTTGGCAAACGTGCGAAAAGCACCACCAAAAAGAGCATTCTGTGGTCGAGTAGGACTTGCGCTTTGTTGCTGGAAACCTCGTACATGGTTCGGCGTCATGTGAACGTGCACTATGTACCTTGCGATAGTTGCACAGTAAGGAAGTACGAGGATGCGCTGAGAGCAGCGCCGTGTGGTCATTACTACTGCCAGCCGTGCATTTTACGGATGTGTCGTTTGGCGTTAAGTGACCGTGTACTTGTACCTCTTCGTTGCTGCAAAAAGGAGATGCCAGAAGACTATGTGCGTGAGGCACTAACGCGACCTGGGGATTACGTCAAGTACCAGACGTTGGTGAAGGAGAAAGACTGGAAGGTATTGGATCTCACGTCGGATGCGGAATACACTGCAACGGTGAATGCCGTAGGAGCTAAACAATGCCCTGGTTGTGGCATTGGTGTGCAGCGCGACTTCGGATGCATCCACATGACGTGTCCCAATGGTCATCAATTTTGTTACACGTGTTTACAGCGTTGGGGATCGTGCCACTGCCCTCTGATCCCAGACGCTGAAGTGCGAGATATTCTTGGCGAGTGAACGCGCTCAGGTGCGTATCTTGACCAGCATCATCAATATCTAGTTGTTACGATACTTTCCAACGGGACAAATTGAAGCCGCGGGTGAGAAATCAAGTGCCGTGTTCGAGACCACCCGTGTTTGTAGTTGTTGATGTAAGTGCAGAGGTGCCCTGCGTTCTGCTGCTTACAAGATGTCTCGAAACTTGCATCTCACGCACAGCTGCCCCGCCAAACGGATCGGTGCCGTTGTGGGGGGAAGGCTCTGCTAGTCTCAGATGGTGCAGGTATTTTGAGCGCAAGCGCAGTATTGTGCCGTGGCGTATTTCCCTATCGATATCAGTGATACGCTTGTCGATAACTGAACAGTAGTTGGCTCAGTACCGTGGGCTGCATATCAAGAAAAGGAGAAGAAGCGTATGCGGACTTAGAGGCAAGCTTGGATGTCATGCCTTTTGCTCTACTTCTACAGACACAGGACGCTGCACAACATGACCTTTGCGTCACGTGCGCGATCGTGATATACGGACGAGTCGTATTGACCAGGATTGTGGTGCTGCCGGTTCCTGTGGGTACCAAAGCGCTATGAACACAGGGAATCGAATGCACGGCAACGACATAGCCTGCAAAAGAAAGTGCACACGTAGCATGAGTGTTCTAGCAAAAGAAACTTTGTACGCCGTGACAAGGAAGTAAGAGATGGACCAAAAGGGAAAACGCATGCTCCATGCAACTCGCAGGGGGCATCGCCTGGCTCTGATTACAGAGAAGGCGAGATCACAACTGCTGATCACGGCCTGACCAAGACCAAAATGAGCTTGCACGACACACCGTAAGAAGAGACCAAACCGTTTGCGTAAAATGCAGTTTATGCCATTGATGTAAACGCTTCTATCCAACGAATCTCAGCGCAGTGTATGCTGTGTTTAGGTAGCCGGCAATACGATGCAAAGGCCACAGCTATCAATTGCTCCTTCTACCGTGTCATCTGACTTGCACCTCCGTCGGAACAATACAAGCAACTGTAACAACTGTGGTACCACTTGATGGTCTAGCCACCTCGATATAGCATTTCACGAGGACGTGACGGGTTCTGATTGCAGCATAATGCCGAATAAGAGTCCTGAGTCAGTCAGTTGACTGGAACAAGTACAAACGTCCTCTTCTGCTTACAGTTGACAACCATGGTACTTACTGGGAAAAGTCATGGCAGACATGACGAAGGACTTATCAACACCAGTTCCCATTCTTTCGTTTGGTGTCGAGAGCTCCTGTTGTCTACCTGCCAAGCCGGACGATGGAATTGCTTCCGAACGTGGACCGGCTGAGAGAGCTCGCTTTTGCGGGTCAGTTTGAGTACGTTATGGATCGCGATTCCGATACGATTGATAATGCTGATGGGGGAACCGACGAAGTCAAACTCGCTGAGGTTTATGCGTTGGAAGTGTACCGCGAAGAAATTCGTCGTGCAGAGCTTCTTATGCTGGATGAAGCGGTTGCTATGAGTTTCCATTCGAAGGATGAGCACAAGCTATTGAACCCGGACACGATTGATCTGGACAGTTACAGTGAAGACGAAGGCTTTGTGCTGATCGCTGACGATGAGGAGGAATCCAAGCCACCGCCAAATTGCACGTGCTGTTGCGCACCCGTTCAAAACGAGAGCGATCGTCGCATTTTATCCTGCGGCCACCTATACTGTACGAAGTGCATCGCGACGCGCTGTCGAATGGGTGTGCGCGATCGCTCGATGGTACCTGCCCATTGTTGCCAACGAGAGTTTCCATCTGATTATGTGGTTGAAGTATTGAATACGAACGAGTTGATCACCTACGAGCGGTTTTTGAAAGAAAAGCCCTGGCAAACACTGGATCTTGAGTCGGACCGCGAGTATGCCAAAGTGGTGCAATTGAATCATGCAGTGCAGTGTCCTGGTTGTGGCGTGGGAGTGCAAAAAGTGTCGGGATGCAATCACATGACGTGCTTAAACGGTCATCAGTTTTGCTTCTTGTGCACCAAGAAGTGGAAAACGTGTGCTTGCAACAACTAATTTAGTGTCGTCGTTCACATGGTCCGGTATACACGTAGTGAGTCCTAAGTGTTTCAGAAGTTCGGTTTATACCTTCAACTTGGTAGATGGTCCTCCTATAACTTTTGACTGAAAGTATATCATCACTTGCAAACTTCCTTCAGAGATCCAGTGATTAGATTGAACGGAAAGCGACTCGCTTGATCACTATGCTACTGACTGTGGCTGCGACAATGGCAGGTCATGTAACGGGGCACCCTTTGTTTGGGTGCCGCGAAACTTCACGTGCACTATTACGTGCAGAGGAAGCTATCTACTTGAACGACTCGGTCAAGTAAAGGTAAAAAGGGAACTACGTTTCATATAACTAAGCTATCAATACAACTTTAATCTTTATCTAACTATATTAAACTACGCCGTCATATGACGACAACCTGCTCACCACTCATTGCGCGCGTCTATCAGCGCTTGGTGGTAATCTTGGCTGACATGTCTTATATCAACCAATCTTGGAGCAGCGAATGATTATTATCCAAAAGGGGATAATATTCCTTTAATGTTATTTATCTCGGGTAATTTTGGCAGAATGTTGTCATGCTAAACAATCTTCCGATTGACACTGTTTAGTTTCAATATCATGTAACGGGCTCCCTCGTTACATTGTCCCCCTTTGCCATCGATCACCCCGGTAATGGAATTTGACTGATTGGGATGGGGTGATCACCGTTGGATCACTCTAGGAAAGGAGAGCACTTGTTGGTCAAATATTAACTCATTTGCCAATTCATCGCATGTTGTCAAAGTCCATGTGGTGTAATGCCGAAGCAGCCAAGAAGGCGGTTGCACGCACGCGTGTGGCCAAAGCAATTACTTCTTAATCCTCAGGAGCAGGTGATCGCTCATTTGTTGTTGCAAGTGAGCTACAGGCAGTGTCTGTTGCGACTAGTCCACGTGGTGAGTCAATACGTGCGACAAATACATCCGCTGTGTCTGCAGCGGGTGCTTCGACTCGCAATGTGAATGAGCATGAGAAATTTCTCATCAATTCTGTCGAGTCAGATGATGCATCTGACTCAAAGGCGGAGCCTCCTGTATCCGGATCGCCCGGAGCGGACACTGCCATATCCAGGTTGACTGGCTCTGGAAAACATGGCGCTATCATGTCCGATATCTTCGGACCGAGCGATTCGTCTGACAATTCCTCGTCTCATGCAAGACCATCTGACACTAGGACCCGCGGTGATGGTAAGGAGCGTGGTGGAGCACCTATGCGTCAAGACGAGAAACAACTCGAGGGATCGAGCTGATACTGGTGTCAGTGCACATGCCGACACCACACAAAAGGCCAGGGAATAAAATTTTCTGCGCCACGATCCTCAAGTGGATTATCCTTGGATGCCATCATCCAGAGAGTTAGATCGAGTGGCCGGCATGACCACCGAACGGGATCGAATCCCGTTGTTCGATTGTAGGAGGATCTGTCGCCCTACTTTTGCCACAGACACTATCAGTGCTGATAGAATTCTTTACTGATGTGTTCTTCAAACATCGGTTATACCCCGGTAACCGTGGACGAGACAGTAAGGCCTTGGTGCAGGGAGGGAATGTCTTCATACATTGCATCGAGTGCATTGTCCGTGAGGCCCGGCTCGGTAAACTTGATGCAGCTCGCATCAGGTTTGAGAAGCGTAAACCAGCCAGTGTGCGCTACAATTTGCATTGACTCTCAAGAGAGGCAGGGTTACTCCGTCTCTCGTGGGGCGACCCGTGTCCAAGTTGCCTGGACAATGCGAATCGTGCCCCTAGGGAGTCCAACCTCCCTAATGTTACCTAAAGGAGGGCACGCATCTCTTCTGAGATGGACGAAGGGATTGATACTTTGCAATCTCTGTACTCGTGTTCGGGGAGGTCGTTTCCGATGAACCTTCTTCGAACGCAGCATGTGGGTCTCGTCATATTGCTCAACGAGACTTCAGGGTATCAACAATCAGCTCGGCACGAGGCTCCCAGCTGTCCCAGGCCGGTGGATAGCCACGCCAGCGGACGAGTTACCTCGTCCGCTGGTGCCATTCACATCGCGGTGGTTCAAAATACGCCTCACCAGAAAGTGTCAACCACCGTCAAAATCGACCAAAGGGTGTGGTGGTGGCGGGAACACCTGATCCGGCTTGAGGGTCGGATCGGGTTGATGTTTAGAACTGAACTGTGTAACGGAACAATTACATGATGACCTAGCTCACGAAAAAGCTCGGCGTTACGAGCTCCATGACCTTGTAAAGGATGATTACAATTTCTTAGCGCACGATCGTTCGATCGATCGTGCTGCGTTTGCAATTGCGCAACTTGAAAACGAACTTTCGGTACGTTCTCTTCGTGACGAGCTGACTACAGCTCGTCAGGACTCGCTTAACTACGTGAGCAGGCCGCTCCAGTAGTTGACCAGACTGGCTCGTTAAAACGGGACCACTCGAAGGTGGTCTCGGCCTTTGACCGCGGGGGTGATCTTCGCCTCTCGAAATAGGCTCGTACTGATAGTGCGGGCGGAGACATACAACGTAAAAAGTAGGATGCGTACGCATCTTACGGGGCAGTTCAATTGTGTATGCGTTGCCCATGCGGCGCAGTATACGAAATGGACCGATTTACTTGTGCAGTAATTACTGCTGCTCACGTTTGTCACTGCGTGTTATAGTAGATTTACTGTTGACAGTAAAACAAAGTCTATCTCATTGGCTGAAAGAACATTTGCTCTTCCGTGTTTGTCTGCGTTTCTTTTTCTGTCTGTCTATTGCATCTGCAATAGAATCTTGAATGAAGTGGACAATTACCTCGCGAGTCAGCAGAAATTCCTCTGCTGATTCATCCTTGTCAACAGCAGTGCGCTTCGTGTGAACTGCTGAAAAAAGTTGTCTTTATCAGTGAAAGCGCCATCGTCATCACTCTAGCTTCGTTGGCGATGCTGAATACACCAGAATCATCATCATCATCATCATTGATGTCGTTTTGATGGACATCGGCATTCATCACGTCGACGTCATTGTCGACGGGTGAGGAGCAAGAACCAGATCAATTTTTGTTCGAGAGAGTCCACCCCCCATCTAACAAGAGTCACACATCAAGAAGGAGGGTAAACGTGGATAGCGTAGGCCATTTACGAAGAAAGGTGTAAGCGTTGTCGATGCATGCACCGAGTTGTTGATGGCGAATTCCGCCATCGGCAAAGATTCACTCCAACTCGCAAACAAGTGGACGTACCCTCATAGTATCGCTTCAAAAACGCGGCTAACGCATTCCGTCCGACCATCTGTTTTAGGATGGTCAGAAGCTGACATTTTCAAACGTGTTTCAAGTGAACGGAACACGGATTGCCGAAACTCCGCTGTGAAGCGGGGGTCCCTGTCAGACACGAGTTCACGGGGCAACCCGTGAAGTCGGAAGATAGTATCGATGAAGACAAAAGCACAACCCTAGGCTGTGATTGACTCCGGTACAGGAACAAAGTGTACCATCTTGCTGAACCGATCAACAAACACAATAATACCAGTATTCTTGCTAGCGTCTTTGGGAAACCCAAAGACGAAGTCCATCGATAAGGACTGCCAGAACTCTGCTGGAATCGGTAGAGGCCGAAAGGTGCGCGGGATGAAGGACTAGGCTTAACCCGTTGACAAACTTTGCAAGCGCGGATGTAATTGCGCACAAATCATACTGGCGGGCCAGTAGAAGTCACGACTTACCATGAGATAAGTCTTTTGTCTACCGTGATGCCCACTTGTTGGGGCATCGTGACACTCACACATGATGCGCAGTCGCAAATCATCATGAGCGGGAACGACGACACGAGGGGTGTCGTTGGTGACAGCTGTATAGTACAGCAGTCCATCACAAAAATAGAATACCATTCGGTTAAAGAGAGGTATTGAGAAGACAAGCTATTCGAAGCTTAACGGCATGGATTAGATACGTCATCCATTAACCGCTGAAGAGATTCACCTTCTGCGTATGCTTTCTACACGTCGTCGAGCAATTTGGAGGACGGACCACTCAGTGTTAGTGTCGCTACAGTGGGATTACCACTAGCATGGGAATAGGAAGTCGACTAGAAATCGGAGCAACGCGAAGAGCAATAGCGACGACATTTAGTCGTCCTGGTTTGTACTCGACGGAATAGTTGTACTACACGAAGAAAGACAGCCGCCTCGCCATTCGTTGCGAGAGGTTTGGACTGCTCACGGCCGTGCGTAATGACGCATGGTCGGTATAAAAATAAAGGGCCTTTCTCCTAAGAGATTTACCCGAAGCTTCGCCGGTGCATATTTCTTGGCAAGGCATTCCTCGTCATGCACCGGGTAGTTACGCTCAGATTCTTTTTGCTGACGCGATTGATAACCGACGACGCGCTCAACGCCGTCTGAGTCGTACTGCATTAACGCACAGCCGATTGCAAAATCGCTGGCGTCGCAGACCACATGGAATGGTCTGTTTTGATCTGCAATCTCCAACGCAGGCGATCGTATCAAGCTTTTCATGATGCCTTTCAAAAACTGCTGACACTCAGCGCTCCAAGAACACCTCACGTCTTTCTTGAGTAGACGAGAGAGATGTACGGTCATCTCGGCGTAGTCGCGCGATACTTGTGCAAGTACGCCGCCAGGCCAAGGTACTTTCGAAGTCCCTTGACGTCGACTGGCACATTCCAGTCTCTAATCGCCTTGATCTTTTCCAGATTAGGGCGTGCACCGTTTTTACCCACGATGAAGCCTAGAAGTAGTATTTCGTTCGCTGCGAATTTACACTTCTTAAGGTTCGCTAACAACTTATGCTCTCGCATAAGTGTAAGAAACTTTCGGATGGTGATTCTATAAACCTCCACGTCCGTGATTCCATCCATAGCCCGGCTATGGACGAAGACATCGTCGAAGTAACTCGGGGCAATATCGTGCATTGATCGCAACAGGTTTGTAACATATCTGTTAAACGTTGCGAGGGCGTTACTTAGCCCCTGCGGCATCACTAGCCAC